AAGGCATTCTTCAGACCGTTCATATTATAAATATCAGATTATAAATTGTCCCTGAAGCTATTAACATGCCAGAAATGACCGTCTCTCAGCATCTAAGCTACACATTTCAGACTGCCTCCTGTCCCCAGAAATGACTTCCATAAACAGCCTTCAATAAGCCACTGTAATGGTTCTGAAATGGGAACAACATGGTCATTCCATCACTTGAGCCCCTCCCGCTCTGAGACTGGAAACGCACTGCTGTTTTCTGCCAAGGCTCTGATTTATGAGATGCTCTATGAGTTCTTAGTTTGATGTATGTGGCTGGCTGCCCTCAATGCATACGACTTGCTGGAATTCTTTTTCACATGATTAGATGGATCACATTTATGTTATACACTTACTGTTTGAGTATGCAGGCAATCCTAGCTTTGTACAGTATCAGTTGACTAAAACACGTGCCTCTGAGAATGTGTCCCCACTTGCACGGTTCCCTGGTAACCTCTAAGTGAGGACGTAAGTTTCTGTACATGTTTCAGCGAACATGGTTCCAGCGCAAAGGACTACTGTAGCTGTTTTTTAAATAAACTTTGTATAAAGAATGTGATTATGGCAGTTCTCATTTCTTTAACAAATAGTGAGTACCCATAGGGTCCAAGGCGCCAGACTTGTCTCTGTTCTGACAACTGCCACAGCGAAATGGTGGAAAAGGTCAGATGATGCCCAGAAATGACTGAATGAAGACAAAGAAGTGAAAGCTGCAAAGGATAAGTGCAGCAGGAACTCAGAGGGGGTGCGCTGTTTTTCTGGGGACGGGAGAGAACTTGTGTGGTGGAGTTAGTGCCTGAATTGAGCCTTGAGAGAGGAGGGCATTTGGGAAACGCAGAAGAGGGAAATGGGAGGTGGGCATTCCAAGGCTGACATAACCAACACAAGCGAAAGCGGAGGGGTGAGAAATCCTGAATCCCAGAGCTGGGAATGTTTAAATGACAACCTGTGGGAGACACTGTCTGAGGAGGGAACCTCTGCTCCTAAAGCTCACACAGTAAGGGTGGATGGTGAGAACCATCAAGTATCAGGAATCTCACTGAGCTGGCACCTTCATGGCCTTGTTTGATCCCAGAACAAATCCATAAAGGAGAGAACCTGAGTGTCCCCGTTTTATAGATGAGGAAGCAGAATCAAAAGGCAAAGACCTGCCCAAGACTTTACAACTAGCAAATGACTAAGCAAGGAGAAGAAGGCTTCCAGAGGTGCAATCTACTCATTTTTCTACTGGCTGCCTGAGAAATCAGTGACCTTTACAACTGTACTTGGTTTCTGCTGAATTGTCCAGCTGTGGAATAGATTCATGTTCACAAAAAATATTGATTATTATAGCTAATTTCTCCTTAAGGAAATACTCATTGAGGAGAAAATGAGAAAATCAACCTGTGCACTAACGGCTTTGAGTTTTGCTGCTTACTTATTTCTTTTATGCTTACACTTTGAAAATTAGCATCGGTTGGATTTTAGAAAACTGTTCCCCACAGTTGTTAAAAATAAGAATGATAATAACACCCCCAACTAAAGGAGGCTGTGGCACCAAGCTGTCTTCCATTTTCCTTTTGTTTAGCCAGTAATTATTGTAGGACTGTTGTTCTTGTCTCCTCCCAGCAAGGGTTGATATGTCTCTAAAAGCATATTGCCTCCATGTCCACTTCCGTCCTCTCAGGTTTTCCTCGAACATCACAAAGAAACCTCTCCATCAATCACTTTCTGACAGATCAGCACAGATTTAATCCCAATCAGAGTATCTGAGAGCCAGTGAGATAGGGCTGTCAGGCTACTCACACTGGCTGGTCTTAAGCCTTTGACCGAGTAAACACAATCTTAAAGGATTGGGGAGCTTGAAAGTAATACTGTAAATGATCCCGTCTGTGATTCTTGGCTGATGATTCCTCTCGGGTGGACCAAAGAGGGGGAAATCAGAAGCAAGGGTTCGCTTTGCTTTAAACAAAATATCATCACCCTTCTAGCATCTTCCTTGCTTGCGGTATTTTCCAAGTGAAAGTTCATTAGGAAGACACGAAAGCACGTCTTGCTAATATCCATCAAAGAGAGGGGCTCAGTTTCAAAGTGCAGAAGAAATACAATAGTGTTGAAGCAAAGTACATGAAAAAGATCTTATGGCCCCCGGAAGTGAGAAAGAAACAGGGACTGGTGACTTGGATTTTTTTTTTTAAGTCAATCTTTATTTGGGACAAAAGAAGTGAGTCCCAGGAAAATGAGTGTCTCCTGGGCTTTCTCTTATTTATATCAGGCAGCCTGAACTAAACATTTTGGTGTGTTTGTAAATGCTTGGGTTTCCTATTTCATATTTTCTCCTGTTGGCACCAAAGCTGAAGGGCTCAGAATTTCTCAAACAGGGTTCTTACCCACAGTGATGACTATTATTAACATGTATTGATCTAGAGGATATACAGAAACAGGATTAAGTGCAGATCCGGAGCCCAGGGATTAGGTCTGGCTGGAGAGCAAGCAGAGTGTAAACAGGGGATGTCTGAGTGGTGGGGACCAGGGGGGCTCATTAGAGGTCTGGGCCAGGGAACAGGGTGGCTTTGTGTCTGTCCTCAAGCCAGGGAGTGGGCCTGAGGCTGGTGAGCATGAGCCAGACTCCCCGTCTTGGTCATGGCTCTCAAGGCCAGAATGTCCCTTCCTGGGGATCCCTAGGGGTGCTGGGCAAGTTCCCAGGATGACATATCCCTCTGCAAGGAGCATCAGACCAGAGAGAGGAGAGCTTTCTCTTTTGTCGAGCATTTTGCTGAGGAAACCCCAGCTGGTTTCAGACCTGCTCTTCAGAGGAGCAGTTCTCCTCCATGCCAGAAGGATCTGGCTCCCTTGGCTGCCATGGAAAGAATGACTTGTTTCCATACTTCAATCCTCATGCATTGTGAACCCTCCTTTCCACCCCCACCCACACCCCCCCACCCACAAAATACCTCTTTCAAAATAAGGCCTTGTGAGAACATAAAGCTCTAACTCCCCAGGAGAAAATCCACCATAAGAATTCAGGCTGCCTTAAAAGAGAATAAAATTTTGCCATATGCAGCAACATTATGCTAAGTGGAATAATAAGTGAGACAGAGAAAGACCAATACTGTATAATATCACTTATATGTATATAAAAAATACAAAAAGCCAGTGAATGTAGCAAAAAAGAAGTGGACTCACAGATACGCAGAACAAACAAGCTGTGGAGAGGGAAGTGGGGAGGGGCAACATAAGTGTGGAGGAGTAGGACATAGAAACTATTGGGTATAAGATAGGCTCAGGGGTGTACTGTACAACACAGGGAATATAGCCAATATTTTATAATAACTCTAAATGGAGTGTAACCTTTAAAAACTGAACCACCATATCGTATACCCATAATATGTAACAGTGTACATCAACTAGACTTCAATTAAAAATTCAAGCTGCAACCCTGCACCATAAGAATTCATTCCACCTGGGTTCCCAGCAGTGAGATGGAGACTGTGGAGTAAGCCATCAGGATGCATCTTTTCTTACTCTGCTCATGAGGCCCAGCTGGAGATGAATCTAGTCTGTCCAGTGTTCCCAGGTTCATAGGTTCATCTGGGGATATCTTCTAGATCAGGGATTCTCAATCTCAGGACTATAGATGTCATCATCTGTATCAGGGACAATGGAGGGGCAGAGCTAGCCCTAGCATTAAGCATAGTGGTTACCATCACAGGCTTTGGAATCGAAGATATGGGATCAAACCCAGCTTTAGTGGTTCAGTCTTCTCGTCTGTAAAATGGGGATAATATCATCCATGTGAGAGAGTACTTGTGAAGAATAAGTATGAAGATACATATATAAGTGATTGCTTAGCCCAGCGCCTGACGCATAGTAAGTGCTAAGTAAGTGGTAGGTTAACCGTTTCCTGTTGTAGGCGTCACAGAAGAGTGTGTGGATGGGGATGTTAGCATTTAGGAAGCATTACTCTATGTTGCATTACCCTATGTTTCACATGCTATAATTGCTTTCATGGATGTAGGTAGAATAGACTCTTCCTTCCTCAGGTGTGGTACCAGCTGTTGACGAGGTGATGCTAATGCCTGGCACAAGAAGCTGAGGGTGGAAGAAATGAATGCCACTTGTCCCTCTTCTTAGATCTGAAACAAAAAGGCTGATATATGCTTTCTTCATTTGTTCTTAACTGATGGTAAGCTTTCACAGCGATTATGGTGTGAGGTCTATAAAGAGAAAATATGAATTTTCCCTTACGCTTAGCCCTTGGATCTTACCAAGTTGCATATCCAGGGTTGGTGCTCAGAATCCAAGTTGACCCCACCCCAGCTCCCAACCACCAACACTTCTTCATAACCTCATCACTCAAAATTCAGCCTCCCAAAGATTGAGCAAGAAATTCTGAATTATTCGCTAAGCAACTCAGGTTAAGGGAGAATTGGTAAAAAAGGTGAGTCAAACAGATGAAGAGACAGGGAGAGAATCATTCTGTGATCCATTCAGCCACAACTTGTTAAGTACCTGCCTGCCAGCCATCGTGCTTGGTGCTGAAGTTGCAAAGATGATCAAACCTTAGCCTCCAACCTCAAAAATGTAATGGCCGTTTCTTGTCTCGGGAGCAGGTTAAAAATGTATAAACATTCAACAGGTTGCAAACTTAAGAGTTGAGCGGTTTTTGATTTATTTTATTCCTTAATAGAAAGCTGTTGTTTTGCACAGAATCAAGTAAAGACACAAAACTGGCACAGTCTAAGTGTGAGATGCAGCTATGTTCAGGGCCTTGTGGGAGAACAAGGGGAAGTGTTTGCATTCCTGGAGGGATGTGGCGTTCCTCACAGAGGCTCCAGTGTAAGTGGAGCTGTGGAGGAGAGAAACAACATGACATGGACAGGAAACTCTGAAGAACCCTGTGTTGCTGGAGCATAACCTGTGAGTCTGGAAATGATGAGCTTTGAGCTGGAAGAGGGAGGGGAGGGCTTCATCTATGAGGTGGGCTTTATCTCATGGGTGATGGGAAGTCCTGGGCGGGTTCCTGTCAAAGCCGGAAGTGGTCAGATGTGCTCGACAGCAGCGTGGAGGCGGGGCTCAAGACCGGGGCCAGTGAGGCCATTGCCATTTTCCAGATGAGAGGTGGGTAAGAGTTTCAACTAAGAAACAAGCTTTGACACATAGTGTGGGCACACACACACACAATTTTCCAACTGAAGATTTTGGTGTATTCTATAGAAAAGCCCACTTGAGCTTGGTACACACAAAGGTGGGATTGTCCAAGAGGAACTCATTTCCCTCTAAACATTATTTTTTAGTATCAGGAGATGTCAAGTATGAGTTCAGTGCTCCTAGGTTAGGTCTAAGCAGCACGTACTTTGTGTCCTTGGCATTTTTCGTTTTTTGGAGACATTTGTGAGGAAGTAATTCTTATCCTTTTGGGGTTTTATTTGCTGCTTGCCTCTTCTCTGAAATATTTTGTTATCTACTCTACTGGCAAGACTCTAGTCTGGGGAGTGAGCACCATGTATTAGCTCATATTTTCCACCTTTAGTTCCTTACTTCTTTCCTCGTATTATGTGGAAGAAACCCTCAAGCAGCAAAACTGATGGAAAGATTTTATCTCCTCTCCATCACTCCCCATTGACTGATGTGTTTCCTCATGTCCTGTTCCTTTAGAATAGGAGACTGAAAGATCTGCTTCTTCATTCCAGAACAGAGGTTCAGAAAGGCACTGTGAGTACCCTGGACTCTGATGGGGAGGGTAAGCTTGGGACTGCAGATTCAGAACAGCCTTTGTCGCCTGCATACCAGCTGGAAGAGGGGAGGGGATGCACAATGTCTTCTATCCAAACTCGCATGCTTCAAAGGAACGTTGATTTCATTGTTCCCAAAGGGAACCAGTAAATAACGAGATATTGTCAGAGGCCCGGGTGTTTCCTGCTGGAGACGAGGATGCTGCCAAGTGTTGGAAGCCTTGGAATCTAGGTCTGTGTGAGCCATTTGTGAGGATGATGGGTTTGGATAAGTGACTTCACCTCTGAAAGATGCATTTCTACTTTGTAGATAATATGAGTGATAAATAAAACCTGTTGTTTGCCCTTATAGGTTGTGTGACGTTGGATGTAGAAATATTTTGGATACTGAGAAGTGCATTTTGGAAGTGATGGTCTAGCAGGAGAATTTTCTCTTAAATATTAAACAAAGCACCACAGAAGCAGCTTTGATGGTAGCAAAGGGTTTGAAGAAGTAGAGAAAGTATGCACAGTGCTCCTTTGGCTGGGCAGGAGTATATAATGCTGTCTTGCTAATCTACTACAAGAAGACCTATGACAGATGCTTACAGGCTTCTTTTTGCCTTGCAGCCTACTTTTCTCTCTCCCTCTCTTCCTTTGCGGATTTTTACAAGCTGATTTCCATGCCAGCTAAGGTAGACACCCATTAGAAAGTAGACACTGGGATTTAACATTATAAGAAGGTAGGCACTGGCCTCAGACCTACCACCTGGGTTTGAATCTCAACTCTGCCCTTCACTCCCCGCGGGTACCTAGTAGGTCTCTTCACCTCTCTTGACCTGAGTTTCTTATGCATAGATTGGTTAGGATTCTGTTAAGGTCTTTTCCAGCACATGGATTCTGTATTGTCTCAGCTAAGAGTCAGTAATGGGCTTCCCAGGTGGCTCAGTGGTAGAGTCCACCTGTAGGTTCTATCCCTGGGTGGGGAAGAACCACAGGAGAAGGAAATGGCGACCCACTCCAGTATTCTTGCCTGGAAGATCCCATGGACGGAGGAGCCTGGCAGGCTACAGTGCACAGGGTTACAAAAAGTCCGACACAACTCGGTGACTAAATAGCAAGAGTCAATAATATGTTCCCGGGGCTGAAGAGCCTGGTGTTGCTCAGTGACTGGCTCATCACTGGTGCAGAATCTCCTGTCTGCATGGCAGTTATCAGAAGCTGATGCTGCTCTGCTGAGTTCTCTGGTTTTGTGTCCTCACAGTGGTGTGGAGACTGGGTATGCTGCTGTGGCCGCTGGCTGGCCCAGGTTGCCCAGGATACAGGAATGTGCTGGGTGCAGACAGATATTGTGTTTTCCTTCAGTCTTAATTCTGGGAAAGCAGCAAGGGAAGAGGCTGGGGAGGGGAGTGGTCATGCTCCACAGGCACCTGAGGTGAGGGGGTGGAAAGAGGGTCACTTGTTAAAGGCCACCGCTGAGACCTGCAGAGGGTTGAGCATTACCCCGAGGGTGGGTCCCGTTTCCATTTTAGAGCAGAAGTAAACTCTCCAGGCCCTGTTGTAGTTGGCTAATGGCGATCCCCAAACCACAGGCTCCAGAGATATGAGCCAGCGTTCCAGGAAAAGCCACCCACGGGAGCAGGGAGGACAGAGGGAGAGAATCCAGAGCAAGGGCATGTTTGGGGCTGATTGCTTCAAACAGACGGTAATTGCGTCCTCCAGCTCAGGGTTCATGGGTCACGCCTCCAGCACAGTCCAGTCCACGTCCACGGATGCTTACTTGGCAGAGTTAAGCTTGTGCTCCCCAAAGTCAACATCCAGAGAACCTAGGGAGCTGTGGGGTCACTGTGCAGTTCTTCATTCTTTTTTTTTTTTTTTTAAGTTCAGAAAGACCAGCCCACCACTTAGGAGCCTTGGTTTGGCTGGCTCTCCAAACCCCTGGTCAGATGGCTATCTTTCAACTAAAATACAGGGTTAGTTGAATTTTCTTCCAAATTTCATTTCAAACAATTATCTTGGCATGTTATCTGTAATATCCCCTTTGGAGAGTTTTTCCATCTTAAAAAAAATTCCTCATACCTTGCGAATACATGGATTGAGAGTAAAGCCTCAAGTGCGTCAAGATACATGAGGACTTGAGTGACTCCTGAGCTGTTCTGACTGAGGCTCACAGGAGTGTACAACAGCAAAGGAAAAGAGTAGAAAGATGCCCATCTGGACCTCGTTGGTAGCAAAATTGGAGCTATCTTCCTTGCCTTCAGGTCAGGTCATACTTGAATCTTTAGACCCTGCGGCCCTCCAATACACACACATACGCAGAGAGAGAAAATACACATTTGTAGGCAATAATGCACACACCCACTCTCCTCCTCCCTGGAAGTCACATACAGAAAATACACATTTGTATGCGATATTGCACACCCTTCCCCCAAACACAGCAATTAGGAGTTGAATTCCCCAGTCTGCTGAGCTGGACTTAGAGACTCTTAGAGCAAAAGGGACTCTTGAGAAGAAAAAAGGAATTCCACTCTGGTGAGGTTAAGACTGAAGTCCTTAAAAGTGAGGTGGTTTCACCGAGACTGCTTTAGAAAGGGACCAGTCCTGACACTCCCAGAGGGGAATTGGGTGAAATACCCTGGGGAATGGGTCCAGGAGCCTTGAAGTTCTGAGCAAGCACTGGGATTGGGTGACGCACTGGGATTGGGTGACGCGCTGGGCTTCATCTTCTGCGCATCTCCACCTGCCCTATCACTCCCACCGCCCGGGGGCCCTGCACTTTGCTCTATTCTCCACCCATCTCTGAAAACCTTCCATCTCCAAGGCGACTTCAAAGCCCCCTGGGAAAGCCAAGTTGCCAATTAAGCTTCTTTGAGGCAGGTTCTCATTCCTTCCCCCACTAATTGAAATGTTACTCCTTTTACTAAACCCCTAAACCACCCAAACACAACGGTCTTCCTCATTTGCATTGTAACAACGTCCCTAATATGCTTCCAAGAGCCCTCCGTAAAGGGGACCTTCCCTCTCCTCCAGGCATGAGCGGTATGAAAGCAAAGGCCTTCATTTCCATCCGTATACAGCTGCTCATTAGCTAAGGTGGAAGAAATTCCTTTTATTCTGGATTCATTTCCCAGGATGACCATGTCTTTTTCTTTTTGTCTCAGGTCACTGTTCCCAAACTAGGCTTTAATTGCTGATAGAGATTGAGTTAATACATATTTACAGCCTGGTAAGGTTAAAGAAGGTCTCCTGTAGTTTTATTTGAGACATTTTATTTAGCCTGCCATAAAATCATTAACAAGTTGTTCAGTGTTAATTCTCTGTCCTTTATCTTGTCTCTGCCTCTTAGGAAAATTGGGTGAAGGCAGGTGGCTTTGGGGCAGGCTGGATTCTCAGGCAGGGTGGACCCTGGGGCCCCAGACCTCACCTCCAGATCCTTCTCCGTTCAGAGAGGGGTGCCTCTCCTTGGTAGGAGCAGATAGCCCAGGGCAACACTGTGCTCTCCCAGGCACCCAGCCAAGAGGCGCAGGCGGGTGATGAAATCCCATCAAAGCCACAGGGCTGGGCCAGGCTCCTGAATTAGCTCCCACCAGTAACTCGAGCCCCAAGTGGCCCACAGGCTGGGCACTGAGCCGAGGTGTCAGGCCGGGCGACAGCCTGGCCACTGGAGCCCGCCCAGAAAGAGGGACTGAAAAACCAGGCAGGAGGGGATGCCGAGGGCCAAGGGCAATGCCAGGGGAAGCCAGGGGTTTTCCAAACTTTACCCTGGGAGGCCTGAGGGCTGCCTGTGAAAAGTCAGTCTTGTTGCAGTCCTTCTCTCTCCTTCCCATAAGCAGCTGGAGCACCATGGAGGCCCTCTTCACCTTGGGGTTCCAGGACTCTCTATCCCTTCGGAGGGTAATTGGCTTACCAAAAATGAAGCTGGCTGAGTCAGCCGCGTGTCTGCCTGCCCCCAGAGTGCTGCTCCCAGGTTCCCGACACTTCTTTCCTCTCCCCCTTGCCTTGCCTGGGCCTCTGGCTACTTATGTCTCTGATCCATCCCTGAGGAGTGGATCAGACTGTGGCAGAGGCTGGCATTCCCCTAAAATCATGTTGCCATATGTTTTCTGGCCACACATCTCTATTTTCCAGCTCCCCTAGTAGTAGACACAGTGAAGGGAAGTGACAAGGGCCATCTCCGTGCTCTTTGCCCTGTCTGGCTGCCTGGAGTGGAGATGATCCTCTGGGCAGCTTTTAAAGCTAAATGTTAAAAATGGCAGCTCAAAAATGTAAATGATAGGTGGAGGGTGGCTGTCCCACCCATCCTATGTACAAGCATGAAATCAATGTCTGTGGGGTGTAAACCACTGTACGCTATGGGGGCTATTTGTTACAGCAGGGAATTCACTACTCAGTCTGAGACTGTTATGCAATACTATGAACTGCGGGGGCTGGCTGCCTTTACCTAGAATGTTCATCCAGTGACTTTCTCATGCCTCCCTTAAGACATAGGTCAAATTCCAGCCCCTCTGAGGAGCCTTCCAGTGGGCAGGGGAAACACAAAAGTAGCTTTATCCACTCATTCAATCATGGACACCAGCAGAAGCTGCCTTTGCCCACCTCTAGGAAGGTTGAGCCAAGCAGGAACATGGGACATGGCCCACTGGGCAAGATTTAGAAACAGCCGGAGGGCCAAAATCCTCTAAACCAAAGAATGCTCCTCTGAGACTCAGACGTCATCATTCTTTACTTCTGAAATCTGGTTCAAGAGACCTGGATAAGGAGAATAACTACTGAGCTGGTTTTTTGGGTGATTCAGAAAGCTGGAGCTAAATGGGCCCCTAGAAATCATCTGATCCTGCCCATTCCCTTACAGATGAAGAAACTGGGGCCCAGAGTGGAGACAGAAGCAGCAGCTGGCCTCCTGACTCTCAGCCTGCTGCTCCTTAATTGTACTTTTTAAGCAAGGCAGGTAACACATTGTTGTCAAGTCTCCCATTGCAGCCCCTGGTCCAGGCTCAGAATTATTTGCTCATTTATATATATATATATATATTTATTTGGCAGCATCGGGTCTTTGTTGTAGCATGCAGGATCTTTCAGTTGTATCACGTGAACACTTAGATGTGGCATATAGGATCAGTTCCCCGACCAGGGGTCAAACCCAGGACCCCCACATTGGGAGGGCAGAGTCTTAGCCACTGGACCACCAGGGAAATCTCAGAATTATTTGTTTTTTCCAACTCTCCAAGATGTGTTTCAGCCCAGCCTGTTTCAGTGTTCTCAAACACTGACCATGCTGCCTTCCATCTGAGCATTTCAGGTCCAAGTTCTCAGTGCTGACTTCCAGCTAGAGCAGGACGGGCAGTACCAATGCTTCCAAGGTTAACTGTTCAACAGCCTGGAGGATGGACGTGGCCCATTCATGAAACATAGACCTATCCCTTTGCTCTATAGCGAGGGGTTGGGACAGGCAGGAGATGCGACAGCACTAAACTTGTTTCCTGTTTCTTTGTCTTGCCCTTCTCTTCATGGAAGGAAGAGTCCTTGAGGAAGACCCACCCTCATTCTACAGAGAAAGGAACTGAGGCTCAGAAAGGTTTGCTGGTGAGCTCGAGGCCTCTGCAAGATGCCTTACTTCTGATCTCCCCTGTGGAGTCCTCGGTCAGAGTGAGAAGTTTCTACTTATCACCTTCTAAGTCACGAATGAAAGTAACACTAGGGTATAGTTTAGTATATATTTTGGAATTTAAATCTCAATCAACCAAAATTTCTCTTATGATTTCCCCAAAGTACAGATTTATTTTCCAGTATTCATTTCTTAGAGTCTAAAGGACCTGTGGGTCAAAACCTGACATCTGACTCAACCTAGGGGTTGATGTAGGTTTCCACAGTGCAGTTCCATCCTGTCAGCATTTTTCTTGATTGTTGGAGCTGGTTCAAAACCCATGTTTCTGCCCTCACATCCTTCCTTTCGGGAAACTGCAGGGAGAATTAGAGTTCTGGATGCTTGGCTCAGGGAGGGCCCTTAAGGTTCATATAATCCAAAACTCTCCTATTTGGGTGGACCACAGGCCCATAGTGAACTGGTGACAGGCCTGGCCTGGTGTCCCGACTCTTCAGCACGAAACACTTTACGTGGACACATGGAAGGGAACCCCGGTTGGTTAGTGCCTCTGTAAAGTAAAGAGGGGACAGCATTTTTTTTCCAGTCCCATAGCCTGGATCAAGGAGGAGTCCGTTGTCTTTTGGGAAAGATGTTATTAAATACCTATCACCCCGTCTATACCTCATTTATGAAGTTGTCACTTTTTGGATTACTGATGCCTATTTTCTTCTAGGATGGCTCCCTTCATCTTTCCTATTGATCACTCTGCTTTGTCAGAGTTCTTTTTCAGTATAGTGAGTGTGTATGCAGGGAACAGGGAGGCAGTGGTATGGGTGGGCTGATAGTCTCTCAGACGCTGAAGCTGGGGGAGGGAAAGGGGGTGCTTGACAAGGTTAGGGTCAGGGGTGCCCTCCAAGAGCCATTCCTCAGTTTTTATTGTATGTTTAGTGTAATGAAGGAACATTGCTTCATATATGCATACTTTACAATTCATTAGGTGCATTTTCCATTTGGTATCTTTTTAAATTCCTTGAAAAAAAATCTTTGGGAAACAGAGACCTGGAGAGGAAGAGCTAGCATGTTGTGGACTCTACAATCCTCTAGGCAATGTGCTTCTTATGTTCACATATATACGAGGAATCTCTTTCTATCCCCAAAACACCATGAGACAAGCAATCATACTGTAATTGTCATGGTGAGGACATCTGTGCTCAGAGTGACGACTTGTCTGGGTGCTCCCAGCTAGTAAGTGGCACAGGCAGGATTTGAATTCAGATCTCTGTGAGCGAAGGCTACATTCTTTCTACAGCATTGATCTGCCTCCCTAAGAATGTGGAACTGTTAGCAAAGAGAAGCAACCAACCCAATCTGACTCTTGAAAAAAATGGTTGTGTAAGTCACTTCACGACAAATAGATGGGAAGCAATGGAAACAGTGACAGATTTTATTTTGGGGCTCCAAAATCACTGCAGATGGTGATTGCAACCATGAAATTAAAAGACACTTGCTCCTTGGAAGAAAAGTTATGACCAACCTAGACAGCATATTAAAAAGCAAAGACATTACTTTGCCAACAAAGGTCCGTCTAGTTAAAGCTATGGTTTTTCCAGTGGTCATGTATGGATGTGAGGGTTGGACTATAAAGAAAGCTGAGCACCAAAACATTGATGCTTTTGAACTGTGGTGTTGGAGAATACTCTTGAGAGTCCCTCAAACTGCAAGGAGATCCAACCAGTCCATCCTAAAGGAGATCCGTCCTGAGTGTTCATTGGAAGGACTGATATTGAAGCTGGAATTCCAATACTTTGGCCTCCTGATGTGAAGAACTGACTCATTGGAAAGGACTCTGATGCTGGGAAAGATTGAAGACGGGAGGAGAAGAGGATGACAGAGGATGAGATGGTTGGATGGCATCACTGACTCAATCAATGGACATGAGTTTGAGTAAACTCCGGGAGTTGGTGATGGACAGGGAAGCCTGGCGTGCTGCAGTCCATGGGGTCACAAAGAGTCAGACACGACTGACCAACTGAACTGACTGAAGTCTCAGAGAGGCAGGGAATATAATACTTTCTAATCACAACACTGGGACTAAAGTTCCAAGCTGTGCTAAGTGAAGCGGTGTTTTCCAGGACACCATACCGCCTCAGGAGACCAGACACTAGTTGGGAGCCATGCTTGACACTTGTGTCCCAACAGGGAATGGCTCAGAATAAGCCCACGGGTGAGGACGCGACTGGGTGGTCTGAAAGGGGAAGATTGGAAAATCTGAGACGCAGGCTCTGAGTCTAGACTGTCATCCAGTCTGTTAAAATTGTCTTTGCCGTGGGCCATGGATCTGCTTGGACCATTTCTTAAAACCTGTTGTGGTCTGGAAATAAGAAAACTCAAGTCAATTGTAGACAAATATTTTGCAGCCTCTGCATTTACTTAACAAAGGTGGGGCTCTCTTCCCTTGGAGGATGAAGCTGGAGCTGGTCTAATCGCTGGTCAGATCTTCTCCTCACAATGGTATGAGTGGGAGCTTCTCCCTTCCATGTTACCTCCCAGAGGAACGGGATAAACACCCTTGTAAGACAGTGGTCTCATTTTGTGGACGTGAATTCAATGGCTCACAGCTCCATTCTACTCATCTTGGCTCCGGCTTAAGTTTTAAAGACTAATTCTCTCTGCATTAATCTGAAAAGATCCTTCAAACAAAAGCTCAACATCTGAGTCTATTTACCGAGTGTGCAGCTGTGTCAATTGGGCCAAGACAAAGCGAGGCTTCCTGGTCAGCCCACAATGGGCTGCAGGTAGTCCTGCAAACAGAGGAGCACAAGGCACTGTCCTTTCAGGAGCCAGCAACCCTCCTTCCAACTGGGAGGAGCTGGAGCTTAGGGGTCAAGAGAAAGGGAGTGCTGCCCCACCCCCACCGTCACCACACACACAAGTGGGGACTGGAGGATATGATCTGTAAGCCCATCAATTAGGGCTATTAAAAAGGTAATTAGCCCTCTACCATGGAAACCAAGGACAGAGATGTGAAAAGGGGAAATTCATTTCCACGTGGTTACATTTTGATGTGACCAGTACACTTTCTTAAGGAAGTGAGAAGCTATTGGTGAGAATATCACTTAGTCGGTCATGATGGGAAGGTGATATCAAGTCAGTTTAAAAGTTATCTAAGAATTAAAATAATAACTTCTTTATTCTTGAAAAAAAAAATTTTTTTTTCTGCTCTCAAACACTAGATTCAAGTCAAGTGGCCAGAGTTAGGAGGCCAGGGAGGAGTTGAGTTATTTCCTTTCTAGTTTCCTCTCCTGAAGAGGATTGTGGCAGGAAATGACATCTGAAAATGTCAACAATGAATAATTTGTCTTGGATTCTAATAAGTGTGAAATTCAGAATTAGTGTTCCCTCTCTTGTCAAACATGTGTGGGTATTTTGGTAATAAAGCCCGAGAGAGCAGAAAACGAATAGAGGAAAGCCCTTTCTCATAATGAGATTTGAAGATATCTATTGAAATGGATCTAAAGTATATAGTACTCTTTTGCAACACTGGTCAAGTTCACAGTGAACTTAGGACCTACACAAATTTACATTTTCTCTCTCTGTGTGTGCATGCTTTCAGGTAAAGGATAATTTAATTTAGCTTTGTTTTCCTCCACCATCTCATTCTCTCCTTCTTTTTCACTTCCCCTTCCCACTTTATAGAGGCCAAATATACATGCAGGGAGATGCACAGATCTTAAGTGTCCAGTTGGATGTTTCACATCTTGTTAACCCACACAACAATCAAGATATACAATATTTCCACCACTTCAGAAGTTTCCTGCTCCCATCTAGTCAATAACCACCTGCCAGGCAATCACTGTTTTAATTTTTATTACTATGTATTAGTTTTGCTATTCTTGAATTCCATGTCAAAGATATCATATGGTATAAATTCTTTTTGTATGCCATCTTTCACTCAAAATAGTATTTTTGAGGTTCATCTGTGAGGTGATGGAGTATTATCTGTTTATTCTCTTTTATGTATAAGTAGTATTCCATTGTATAACACCACCACAATGGACCCATTCTTGTCTTGATCACATCTCAGTTGTTTCCATTTGGAGCTGTTATGGAATAAGCTACTGTAAGCTTTCTTGCGTAAGATCTTTTGTGGACATATGTTTTTATTTCTCTTGGACAGTTACCTAGAAGTGAATCATAAGTTAGGTGTATTTTTAATTTTATAAGAAACTAGAAACCTACCAATTTTCTAAAGTGGTTGTAAAATCTTATGCTTCCAGAAGAAAGGTATGAGAAGTTTCAGTAATTCTATCTCCTTACAAACATTGGATGTCTTTTTTTCTTC